TACAATAATAATCTGAGTTTATTGTTTTACCAGTTTGGAGGTAATCCACAAACAAAATTCCTTTTGCATCCCAAAAAACTGATGCTAACACCTTCTTGGCCGATTTCTGGACCCTAACACGCTTCGGAGCCGAAGTACCGGGTTCACACCACTCTTTAGCCTCTTGTTTTGATTCAGGATCATGGTGGTAGACCCATGTCTCATCCATAGTGATGAAACGACGCACAAAATCCTTTTTATCCTTTCTAAAACGCTCCAAATGTTGCTGAGAAAGTTGCATTCGAATGTGTTTTGTTCCATAGTTAACGAATGCGGCACCCATTGTGCACACAGCTTTCTGTAACCCAAAACTTCAGCCAAAATATTGCTCACACTGCCTAACGAAATCCCTAGGGCTTCTACTAAATCTCTCTTGGTTAATTGACGATCTTCCAAAACCATATGCTGTATTTTTGCTACGATTTCTGGTGTTGATGCACTTTTTGGACGCCCTTCACGTGGATCATCTTCAAGACTTGTACGACCACGAAAAAAAGACATAGGCACGACAAAGAATCCGAGGTGGATCCGAAAAGACATAGGCACGATTTTTCGGATCCACCTCCCCTCGGGGAGCGAACCCCTCCTGGGTAAAGTGAGGATGATGTGCTTAAACAGAGCCATTCGTTGCACCAGGAAACAACTTTATTCTAAGTTAACAAAAGTGGTGGAAATAGAAAATTCTTTGTTCCAGTCGGGTCCCGGGATCCTATCGGGAGAGAATGCCAAGATAGTCAACATCCAGGATAGGCTTAGAATCAATCTAAAGAGGCATTATCAGAAGAAGTTTCAATGGATTCTACAATTCCAAGTTCCCAAGAAGTGCAAGCATCCCTCATTCCCGTTTATAGTGTGGGATAACATAGACCTACCGAGTTTTGTGGTGGAGGTTCTCAAATTTGGACCAGCCTTTGCACTACCGCCAAAAAAGGCGGACGCAAGAAGCCTTATTCCGGATCTGGAAATTCTACTACGAGGGCTATCGGACAGACAAAAAGAATATTATCGATGGATGGCCACGTTAAAAATCAAGAATTCCAAGGAAACATCTGAGATAACGGATCTAAGAGACAAGCTACGACGTACGGTGCGTTGGATGAAACTTAACAACATCACTCTTGTCAGGGCCGACAAAAATAAATCCATGGTTCTCATGAAGCGTGACACCTATGAAAGAGGCCTACAGGAATACTTAACGCTTACCCATTGCGATAAGGCTGACGAGGGTTTTATCGATAAGCTGCATTCAAGAGTGAAACGGTTCGCCGGTTCCGGTCTCGCTAAACGCTTGGCACTTGGTAACTTAGTGGTTGACTCCCCTGACGTCCCTAAATTATTTGCTTTCGCAAAAACGCATAAACCGGGCCAACAACTCCGCCCAGTCGTGGACAAAGCAAGAGCGCCTACACAGAAGTTGGAGAAAGCTGTACATACTATTCTCGCCCCACAATTGGAAGGCTACCAGTACAGTATCGCTAGCCCGGTGGAGCTCCTAACACAATTGAAAGAGATCACATCATACCAGTACGTAACAGTTTTGGACTTTAGGTCCCTATACCCATCCATTGAGCTCCCTCCCGCTTTCTGTGCGCTAAGGGACATTTTGTTTAGTATAGTCGGGGATAACGCGTTACACAACCAAGTACTTGAAATGGCACATTTAATATGTTATAATTCTGTGTTCCAATTCAATGGTGAGGTCTACACACAAGGCAGAGGGGTCCCCATGGGAAGCCCGGTTTCAGGGGACCTATGTGAGATGGTGGTCCGGCAGTTGGAGAAAAAAATCCTCCCACAATTCCTCCCTAACATCGAACTTTATAGGAGATATATTGACGACATTATTATTATCTGGAAAAATGTGCCGGATATAACAGCATTGGTAGACGCTTTTAATAATAACCCGTACGGGTTGATGCTAGAATTAGAACAATCTGACACCACTGAAGTACATTTCCTAGACATAAATATTAGGTTAGAGAAAGAGGGCATCAGCACTGCGGTGTATCGTAAACCAGGATCTATGTCCTCGTACATCCCGATAGGATCATGTGATCCGGTACCCTACAAGATGGCGGCATATAAAGCCTTAATCAGAAGAGCCTTCACACATTCTTCTAACGTGCAGGCTCGTGATAAAGAGCTAACGTATATAATGCGAGTAGCCGCGGAACATGGGTATCGCACAGCCATACGTAAGATGATAAAAAGTTATAGCCGGATGTATGCGGATAAAGAACGGCTGGTAGACTGGCGCGTTGATAGAAAGGAGGTTCCGGAAGACATGGAACGTATACCCGTCACCTTTAACCCATATGTAAGATCTATATATGACAAGATCGCCAAGAAGCGCCAAATCAGTATTGCTTACAGGAGGTGCCCTACTATTTTTAACATCCTAAGGAATGGGAAGGACCCTCCTAACCCCAGCAGAAGACCGGGGGTCTATAGTGTCCCTTTGAGAGATAACAGATTCGACAGGGACTTAATATATATAGGCTCTACTAAAAGATCCATAGGTGTCAGAATACAGGAGCATAAGGCAGACATTCGTCACGGGAGAACCAGCACGGCCCTCGCTACATACGCAACAGACCCGGGCATAGTTGCTGACTTTAATAGGACCAATCTCCTCCTCGGTGCGCCTCCCAATGAACATCTCAAGTGGTTAGAGGCGATGCACATCTTTAAATCCTCTATCGAAACCACGTGCATAAATTTTAAAGAGGAGATGATCTTGTCGATGGCCTGGCAAGAGTTGATACATAACACGCTTTAACTGCTCGTTATTTCCGAGCAAGCGGACATGTCACGCATGCGTGACGGATAATTTAAAAGAAATGTTCGATCTTAAGAAAGAAATTATTTAAACAACGTTCGTTAATGTCTTTCGTTGACGGCAGTTGTTAGTTTGAACGGCATGCGCGACACATTTTTTAAAAAAGAACTGTTCGATCGCAAGAACGAAGTTATTTGAAATATCGAATTTACGAGCTAAAAAGCTAAAGGGACCTGAGGAAGAACCTAGAAGAGGTTCGAAAACGTTTGTTTTTCGTTTCGTCGTTCGTACCACACATTATTTTGGTTCAGTGTACGTGTTTTTTATTAAATAATTTAGAACCTTCTGGAATAAACACATATTTCCATGTGAAAAAATTTTGTTCAGCCCCAGGTCAGTTCTTTTATTCCAGAAGGTTCTAAATCATTTAATAATTTATTAAAATTATAATTATTAATTTAGTTAAGAGATGGTGCCTAATGCCTCCCTCTAGTGACAAATTACTTTATAGTAATCATTTAATTAGCCAAATTATAGCCCAATCTTTCAGGCAATCATTGGTTATTTCATTAATTTATTAGTATACAGGATGTATCAGAATGACATTTTAAAAATTTGGGGGCTTGTAGAGGATAAAATTTTGAACGTTTTGATATAAGGAACCTAAAACTGGAAATGTGATATAAAGTCTCTACAGCACTTTGCACGTTCTATGTGGTCGGTATGCGCAATGGTATTTCCTTGAGCTTCACCATAACACAAATTCATATCAGCAAGTTCTCCAAATGTGTAGTTACCCTCCGTGATGCCAGAACATATCCACAGTACGTGAAGCATGATAAGCAGACAACTGTACACTGACTCACGTTGACTAGCAGTGTGTTTACAGCACAACACCAGTGGATGTAAGGGGTGACTAAAGAATGACAAGCACTAAGTACACAATGTCCTATACACAGGCTCAGTTAGACCACTGTAGTTGTGTTTACAGTCTTCCATCTGCAGCAATAACATGACGTCAATGGACAGAAGGGTAGCTACCAAAGTGAAGGGAGGTCAAGCACTTCCTACCACTGTAGACTCTTTAGTTCAAATTTCCGGCTATAGGTTCCTTATATCAAAACGTTCAAAATTTCATCCCCTACAATCCCCCAAATTTTTAAAATGTCATTCTGATGATACACCCTGTATATTCCATCAAAACCAATATCAATTTTTATATTTAGTTCTACAGTATAAACTGAATGATTTGATATCCTTTTCTAATTTATTTCAGAATTTATCCTTAATGTTATATATAACAAACTTAAAAGTTTCATATTTGCTCATTTTTTATTAATAGTCTTTCTTTGCAACCATTTATCAGATTTATGAAGCTAAAATTTGCTTATTTGCAAAAGGATTAGCAACAATAATAAAACAACAAATAGAAATCATGGTTAAAATCTTCTAGTTTGCGTTATTTTAGCATGTGCTGTACATTTAGTAATGAGTAAACATCTTTTTATATTAGTATGCCATGTCAGTGATATATGTTATGAAAATATTCTAGTTAAGCTTTTTTCATCCTTACAAATCTTATCTAAACAAAATATCAAAAAAGCCAAAGTAAATAATGTCCCTTGAAAATAATAAAATGTTACATCATTTTCTGGAATAAAATTCAACAGATCATCATTAAGAAATATGATAAAATTTTTTCATAAGGAAATATATTTTTATTTTCTAATTATATGTTTTTCAGTTCTCTAACCTAGTTTTTTTTTAATGTATTTCTCTTTCCTTATTCATGGCAATTTTGCAGAACATAGTTTCCACAACTTTTATTGTATTATGAACAAACATTTATACAGACTTATATCACAAATATTAAAATCTGCCTTTTTTTTTACATATAATCTTCATGCCAAATTATTGTATTAATTTGCAGAATAATGATGATTGCAGCAATGATATTGTATTAATTTGCAGAATAAGATTAATCATCTTATAAAATTCATTAACACGTTCATGTCGTTATGAGGCACATGTGACTTGTATGGACATGTCTAGTTAGGCTACAGACATAATTGCTTGTTTTTCCGTGGGCGGCGCATATGATTTGATAACATAATTCTACAATCATCATACTTGATATATCAATATTATTTTATTAAGTGCAATAAAATATATTAATTTAATATAAAAGGCACAGGTGACTTGTGCCACCCTGTATTAAAATAGACTACAAGTCACCCGTGACTTGTAATGCCCAGCAGCTGCCTAAATGTTTATCTACTGATGCTGTGAACGTGTTAAAATTTGAAGCACTGTTCTGTGAATGCATAATCAACAATGTCACAATTATTTATTTGTTTATTTACTCTAGCAAATAATTTTTTTTAATACTTAACATAAATAAGGTAAAATTAAAAGTATCATTTCATATGCTATGTGAGATAAAAATTGTTTTTTAAAATTTAAACAAATTACAGTATATAGGTAGTTTTCATAAACACAAGTTTAATGAGTATGAATTGTTATCCTGTAAATTTCACTTACTAAAATCTTTTGATTTGTTGATTTAAGTGGCTAATTTTATAAGTAACTTTTAACTATAAATATAAACTATATTATTTTAATTTTTAAACATTTTTTATTTGTAACATANTAAAAAAGAATAAGTACGAGTGTTTCCTCAGAAAATACTGTACTGTACTTGTATGTATTGTTTACTTGAGAA